GCCCCTCGCCCGGGCTCGCCCGCGGGAGCTCGCCTGGTGACCCCGAGCCTGACCGTGGACCCCACGGGGACCCTTCGGGAGCAGCCAGCCTCCGCACCCAGGGTGGGGTGCTGGGTGCAGACTCCTCGGCCCGACCTCGCACAGGTGGGGGGAGGGGCAGAGCCCTGGGAGCGGAGGAGCAGGCTTCCTGGTGCACCCCTCAAACCCGACCCTGCCCACTGAGCATGCCCAGCGCACTTGTGGGCACTAATAGTGCTAGACGAGACCAAACAGACCCAAGGAGGGTATAGATGGGGGTGCAAATAGATCCCACTTCTTTAAGACCTCAGGGTGTGTAAAAATAACCCTTCTACGGTGGTATTTGACAGTGTACCTCTTGGATAGTCGGAGAGGCCTTCCAAAGGAGCCAGCCAAATCCCTTCGAACCAGAATCGCAGTGCTTTATTTTTTTTTCAGTCCACTGTTTATTAAATCATTTATTGAACTTTGTATACCACAGAATCCCAATAATTACCTAGAGGAATTTGTAGGCCCTCTGGAATTCCTTGGATCCCAAGTACATAGTAACTCCAGGAAACCCCAGCCAGAGACTCGTCCAATAGAACAACGGTTCTCAAATCAGAAGACCCGTTAGCGTCACTCAAAACCCAAGCCAGACTCACGGCCAGCTAGTCGATGCCGATTCATAGCGACCCTGGGACAGAGCAGAACAGCCCCTTGTGAGTTTCTGAGACTGTAACTCTTCACAGGAATAGAGTCTGGTCTTTCTCCCAGCCTCGCTCAAGAGTGTTAAAATTATCCATGCCGGGTCCTTCCCCAGACCCATTCGTTCTGGGAGACACGTCTGGATAGCCTGATGTTTTAAAATGTACATCTTACAAGTGTAATCATGGGTGTGATCTAGCACGCAAGAATATCATATAAAGGCAACTTCTCCAGCCCAACTTTGATTCATAAACTCTGAAGTCAGAGCAGGATTATCTGGTGTGGAAAGCCAATAAGGTGATTCTAATGTACACTCCACGGGAAAACCACTGTTTAAAAGCACCCCTCCATTCCGCAGGTGGCCAGGGTTGAGAACTCTATGGTAGACCGAGGTTTTCATAGTTCTGGTTAACACCCCCACCACACACACACACATTACATCAATGGTGTAATTCCAAATTATAAAAGTGAACACTCTGTACAACCGAAATCTGATTGGGCCAGGGTGCCAGTCCGTGGAATCCCCCCACCCCTACCCCACTAATCATCTCTGAACAGTTCAGTGTCTAGAAAGGGGGATCTCCGTAGTTCACTTTTTGTGCTCCGGTACCTAGCACCATGCCTATAATAGAATATGTATTCGATGTGTGTTTGTTGATTGGAATCAGTAATGTGTGCTTATGTGAACCATTTGTTCCAGGCCTTATTTTCTCTGGGAGAAAGACAAGGTTTTCTGTTCTGGTAAAGAGTTTCACCCAGGGGCAGTTCTACCCTGTGCCATAGGGTCGTCATGAGTTGGAATCAATGAGTTTGGGTTTTGAGTTTGATTTTCTCAGCTCTCTGTTTTCCCCACAAGTGAGCGTACTGGCTAACAAACCAGTGTCTTAGTTCTCACCCATGAGGATGATGGGCTAACCCAGGTCCGAAACTAGTCACAGGGTGGGAAACCTTTTTTCTGCCAAGGTCCATTTGAGTATTTATAACATCATTCAAAGGCCATACTGACCCAACATTTAATTAACTCACCCCTAAGGTGATGGCTGAGTCACCCTGGCGGCTTAGTGTTTACAAGTTGGACTGCTAACCATAAGGTTATCAGTTTGAAACCACCTACTGCTCCAAAGAAGAAAGATGGGGCTTTCTACTCCTATATGAGATTAACCTTGGAAATTCACAGGGGCGGTTCTACCCTGCCTATGAGTTGGCATGGACTCAATGGCAGGGAGTGAATGCAATGGCCAAGGAACCCTGCTGGCATAGTGGTGCCTCCTTGGGCTTTGATCTGCAAGGTCAGCAGTTCAAAACCACCAGCTCCTCCATGGGAGAAAGACAATACTTTCTATTCTCTTAGAAAGGTAGAGTTTCAAAAGCTCCCAGGGACAGTTCTACCCTGTCACTATCAACTGAGGCAGTGAGTTTATTGTTTTGTTGTGTCTGGTGGGGTGGGCAACAGGAATGTGATCCTGGGACAGTTTCTCTGTGGTGAGCCCTATGGAGTTAGCTGTTATTGATGAATGTCTGTGCCTTACATGGCTTCCGAGGCCAGATGTTACCCCACACTTGCGCTAGTGGAATGGGACATAAGATTTGTAGATTTTGAAAGTTAAGAGGAAAGTCAGGAGCATTGGACACGATTCTTTTTGGGAAATTTGGGAAAGACATCAAGAGGAAAGTATTTATGGGAGGAGGCAGGGTTCCTTATCAGTGTAGGGTGTGCCTTGGACCTAAACTTCAATCTATTCACTATTGAGATATCAGAATATCAGTTCAGACACAATCAAACACATGAAATGGAGATGAATAAATGTAGTTGGGTTATGCTTTGAGCTGCTAACCCACTTCCGGAATGCGGTGGGAGGAGAAGACTTGAGGGGGCTTGACGACTTCTGCTCCTGTAAAGATTTACAAACTTGGAAACCCAAAAAGGGAGTTCTGCTCTGTCCTATAGGATCACGATGAGTCCAAACCAACTCAATGGCTGGGTTTGATTTTGGGTTTTGAATAGTTAAAGAGAAGGGGCCCTGGTGGAGCTGTGGGTCCGGCCTTGGGCTGCTAACTTCAAGGTCGTTCAAACACACCAGTTGCTCTTTGCAGACATAGGTCAGGCTACCTGGTCCTGTGCAGGCTCACAGTCTTTGAAACCCCTTATAGTTTCTCTATGGACTTGAGGAAGGCTCTCAGTGAGATGGATTGACGCAGTGGCTGCCCCAATGGGCTCAAACATAAGAACCTCAGTGAAGATGGTGCAGGACCCAGCTGTGTTTCCTTGTGTTGTTCACAGGGTGGCTATGAGCCATAAGTGACTCCATGGCACCTAACAACAAGGAAGTGATGGCAGTGGGTTTGGTTTAGGCAGGGAATAAAAGGACAGGTTTTCTATACCCAAAACAAGTTACAGTCTAGGGATTCCACAGCAACAGTTCTACCCTGATCTACAGGGTCCCTGTGAGTCATAATCAGCTCGGGCGGTAAATTTGGGGGTTCTTTGGAGGAAAGCTAAGCTGAAGAATGGGTACATTTTAATTAGGTATTGGTGAAAACTATTAAAAATACTGTAGACCGCCAGAAGAACAAACACATTTGTCTTGGAAAAAGTCCAATCAAAGTTGTCTTAGAAGCAAGAATTGTGAAACTTTGGAAAAGAACTCTACATGGATTCAGTCTCCATTGAACTCTTTCTCACCCTTAACGGGCAGTACGAAAGGGTTTACCCTCGTGCAGAGTGTGTTTGAAAGTGGATTGCTATCACTCCCCTAGTCGGCCCAGGGAGAGGCAGCCTTGTCCTCAGAGACTCGCCTGCATTTTGGAATATGAGAATCCACATAGTCTGAGCTATACGCTGACTGCATGAGTCAGAACACCCTGAACCAGTCATGTAAGCTTTTCTATCAGCATCTATGTACACCACTCAATTAGTATATATATCTTTCTGCTTCTGTAAGTCTACCTGCAACTGTGATGAATTGATCTCCTGCCAGTCATGATGTGGTGATGGTTTCCTTTCTTCTCGAAGCCCTGATGGTATAGTGTGTTATATAGTGGGCTGCTAACCTCCAGGTTAGCAGTTTGAAACCAGCAGCCCCTCCACGGGAGAAAGATGAGGCTTTCTGCTCGCATAAAGATTTACCGTTTCAGAAACAAGCAGAAGGCAGTTCTGCTCTGTCCCATGGGATGGCAACGAGTTGAAATCAACTCAATGGCAGTGATTTGCTGCAGATTTTTGTTTCCTTTGTTCTCTTACTATTTAAGTGGCCGAGTTTTGTGAATCCTTGGAACACATTCTGGCCTCCGGTGTGGTCTCCCCCATGATCGGTCTTTGTCTTCCTTTTGTCCCGTTTCAGACTTAGTGAATGTGTGCCTATAAATTATATTTTAATTTAGGATCACTTTCCTCCTTTGGAAAGATGGGCTTTCTACTCCTGTAAGGAGTTACTGTCTCAAAACCTCATAGGGGAAGGTCCACCCTGTCCTATAGGGTCGCTATGTGTCCACATCGACTCATCGTGGCAATGAGTGTGCGTTTTTGTAGTTTTCTCCCCTAGAACATCATTCACAAATGACTGGTCCCTCCTGATAACATATCCAAAGTAAGTAAGACAACGTCTTGGCATCACA